GGGGGGGGGGGGGGCACACGCCCTCCCAGGTGAGCAGTGGGAGCAGCAGCAGGGGCCACCAGACAAGCGTCAGACGAGCCACTGAACAAATCACATGCAGCAGTGGGACCACCTATGAGCCACAGCTCTGCCCTGCCCCTGCTGGGCAGTGCTTTCCCCAGCCCCACTCCTTCACTGCAGGGGCCTTGATCTGTCCCTTCCCTTCCCCCTCCCCTTCTAGCACACCAGACTTACCAGCTGCATGCAGCACTCCAAGCTGCCGGGCAGTGCTCCTCACTGCCTACATGCTGCACTGAGGCTCCGTGCATGCATGGGCCATTAATCAGCCAACTTATCAGGCTGATCTCCGAGACAGACAATCTTCTTTATATTGGTGCCGATCTGATATTGGACCAATGTATTGGTGCACCTCTAATATGACTACAATGGCAACTGTAGACACTCACCACCAGAGATATGGGCTGGGAAATTTTCCAGTGCTTTATTTTTCCGTGGGAAATTTTCCATTTCTAAAAATTCACTGTTTTGTAAAATTCATTAGTAACAATGAATGGATGCCAATACAATTATTAGGTAAGCTTGGCAGTTTCAAAGTTGTAATTAATGTTTTTCAGGTGATTGTTTCCTAGGAAGTGTGAGAGAGAGTACATATATGTTTTTACTGATTTGTGAAACAGGAAGGTAAACACACTCTCATAATAATCCAGAACAAAAATTGAGTTATGAATTTATCTAATTGGCTGAGCATGTCAAGTCAAAACCAAAGCTAAAACTGTGATTAATTTTTGTTTCACTGTCAGTTCAGCAAACACAGAGCAGTGTCTCACTTTTTTCCTTGGGTTGGGGAACTTGGAAGTGTTTGCATAAGATCTGTTAGTTTTTTAGTGCTTTTGGTTTGAAGTAGTCATAATAATGCCTAATCAGAAAAAAATTAGTGAAGTTCAAGCCACTGAAGAAAGAAAGTTGGTAGATGTATATATTGTGGGCAGGAGTATGGTACCAACACAATAAGAATGAAGAAACATTTAATAACATATAGAAACTGTCCTGAAAGAGTACAAGCCTTATACAGAAAGCTAATACAATGAAGTGGTGGAACAACATCAATTGAGAAAAGTCTACTTTAGGAATTCTATGCAAGTAAACAAATTAATATGTTAAACAACACACAGTATAGAATAGCATCTATATTGTTTTAAAAAATTATAGTTTTAAAAGGTGTTAATGCAACTCTGGACTATTATTTATTTAGAATATTTGTATCCTGCTTTTCTGCTTGCACTAAATACCCAAAGTGGCTTAGGCTTAACAATATATTTTTAAAGTTACATAACAGATAAAGAGTTAACTATTTCAACCCAGCAGAGCAAGCTTAGTCCTCGAGCTGATGGCAGAGGCCAGACTATCCATCCCTTTGACTCTGCAGTCCCAGGGCAACTGATCAGCAAATTGAGCTGCAGTGCTCTTTCTGGCAGGGAAGGGGGAAGCAAGCTCCCTGCCGCTTCCCTTTCTTCTGATGGATGAGGCTCGACTAGAATAGGCTAAAATAAAAATCTTTCCTCCCTTTTGTTGCAGGAACTTGATAGCTCAAGTGAAATAGCAGATTTGCAAAAAATTGGAAAATGAAAAAGTTGTGCTACCAGGTCTGGGGAAAGAAGCAGGAGCCTCACTTTCAAGATCACTGTTACCAGATACGCAATCCACCATGAGTAACTGTTCAAGACAGTCAAGCTTTTTAGATAAAATGTCAAAAGAAGATCAAGACAAGACAGACGAGACATTTGCTTGAGCTGTTTTTGCAAGTTGTACACCTCTTTCCATAACTGAAAAATCAATACTGGAAGGAACATTACAAACAAACTCGCCTATCATATAAAGTACTGTCACATTATCGCTTTGTCATACTCTCTAAGAGAGAGTGTGATGAGTTCAAATAATGGTTATTCAAAAGACTGGTCAAGCAGAATCATTGACTCTGATGTCAGATGGATGGACTGAAGCAAAAGGAAATCCTTTATTGAACATTATGTTAGCAACCCCTGAACCCATATCCCTGAAAGCAACTGTTACCAAATCTTCTCATCATACAGGTGAATACATAGCCAAATTACCGAGTGAAGAAATTGAAAGTGCAGGTCCCTCCAGGGTATAAGCCCTTATAACTGATAATGTGAGTAACATGAAAGCTGCATGACAAATATTAAAGGGAAAGTATCCTCATTTAATGGTATTTGGCTGCCTTGCTCATGGGTTGAATCTTCTGGTAAAGGACACAGTAAGTGTGAATATAATGAAGACAATAATGGCAAACTACAAAGTGACTGTGAAAGTATTCAACAATCATGTTGATAATCAGACTTTGAAGAAATTACAGGAAGAGAAACAGGGGAAGGAAAGTGCACTTTTATTGCCAGGAGAAACCAGATGGGGCTCGGCTACAAAGTGCTTACATAGTTTGCTGCGCGCAAAGAACTGTTTGCAGTGTGCTTCAATAGATGACACAGTATCCCACATTATTCCCATGAACATTCAGAAGCAGATTCTTGACAACAATGTGTTCTGGGTTTGAGTTCAAGGAACATTCAATTTGCCACTACCAGTTTCAGAGGTTATCAAGCAGCCTGAAGGAGATGCACCAAGCCTTGTTTCTATTTCTCAAAATCTCTAGCTTCTGGAGAATCAGTCAGAAGCACAATTAGTGAAGATGAGTGATAAGTCACCCTTGCCCATAGATTCGCTGTTAAAACCATTGTTTATTGAAAGAGAATGTGGTTCAAGTAGTTCTGAATCAGATTTGCCTCAGTATGATTCTGAAATGGATCTGATAAGTAATGCGAGTGATTCTACAGATAGCAACAGTGAAACTGCAGGTGCCGCAATGACCTCAGTGGAAGAGAGAAACTCTGTTGAAGTAGAGGTGTGGAACACCATGGCATATCATGCACAGTTCTTTGGGTGTGCTAAAATTAGTGTGTCAACAGTTTTCAGTGACTTGGCTTTTTTCCCCTTAAATTTAAACAAACATTGCAAGGGAAGTACATGCTATTGTGTATTGTGTTTCCATTTTTACATGTATTCCAATAAAATAATTTCTTTCCACATAAAGCTTTGAATTTCTTTGAATATAACGTTTAAACCACATTAAGTATGCTGTATTTATTTTTTTCTCCTAATCAACTATTTCAGTTCAAATACGTGTGGCTATTGGGACATAAAATTAACATGGGGTACTTTTTAAGTTATTTACTGAATGTAAGTCAAACAAGTCAAATAAACATGCTAAATCAGATTACGCTCTATTTAGGGCATTTTCCAATTCAAAATTTTCCAGTAAACCCACATTTCTGCTCACCGCCTCCCAAAATCCAAACACTTTATTTAGGTTTCTAATGGTAGGGAACCACATTTTCTTAAAAACTGGCCATTGTATGCTAAGGCACAAATGTAACAATCACAGTGTACAGAGAAACATGCATTTTTACTATATTAACATTGTTTACAG